GGCTGCTAATGGAGTCAACTGCAGGAAATTAACCACAGGGGGCAGTATGTGGCTCAGTAGATTATAGATCTGTGCGTGTTTGGAAGGTTGTGGGTTCAAACCCCATGGCTAGCTGGATAATCATAACACTGTTGGGCTAATGAGCCAGGCCCTTAACCCCAACTGATCCCGGGGTGCTGGATGCTGGCCGTCTGACCCAAAGCTTTCCTCCCTCATGAGTTGCTTTTGACTAAAAGCATCTGCTAAATGAATATAGATGAAAACAGAACCTTCACTCATCTGGCCACTGACAGGGCCAAAGCCACAAATAATTTTCTCACGTTCATGAGGACGTGTCAGCACCAATGACCATGAATCTCCCTCAAATACCAAAATTTCTCATGACCTGTAGTGTGGGTTGAGGTGGGTTTGTCGTTTCAGGGGCTTCACTCAAAGCTTCAAGACCACTGCCCCCCCCGCATATGGTTTGTGGCCAACATGTGGCCCCCAAACCTAGGAGGCCCCACGGAAATGTGTGGTTCGAGCGGTGGTAGACACCGCTGCTGTCCATGGCAATATTTATAAATTTCGAGAACATGGATTTTCAGTATATCATACGCTAATCACCATACATATTATGGCCTCTATCAAATAAATTACAGGTCGCACTACTCCTGCAGGTGCTCAGGAAAGCCACCCAGGAGGCTTTCCAGAAGTTAAACAGCACTGTGAGTGAGATATCTGTACTGAAAAGCCAACAGCACGTTTACATGACCAAAAACGCTTCACAGCGTTTCACACACAAGCGTCCTGTTTTCCCTGCATCCAGAATCCATTTCCAAGGAGCAGAAAGACAGACAGGAAGTGACGTCAAGTCTGTTTGTGTACCATGATGCATTGCCACTTCAAATCCTTGGCATCACTTTTTTTATTAGAAAGAGCCAATTCACTAAATCCAAATACATTTCTCACATCTTATCCAGAATGATTTTTAACCTACATAATGTGGAAAGTCTGAACTACAGTCTCACCGGACCGGAAACATTTAAATGAATAATTCAACAAAATGATTAATGCTAACCCAATTCAAGAGCGCAAGGGCAGTATGAAGGAGCTCAAAACGACCTTTTGCTTACATTTGACAGTTGGCTATTAGGCTGAAACAGTTCAGTTGTTTTCAATTAATTTCTAAGTGGAAATTAGAAACAGCTCCAAAGCAGAGCTTTGCACTAGTTTAGTACTGAATGAGAGTAAAGGCTCTTAAAAACAGAAAATGCTTATTTAACCCTTGGAAGGTGAGGACAGGAGATTAAATTTGTGGTTGTTGTGGTCAAAGGTGGAATCAATGGAGCTGACGGTCCTCCAGAGGTCTTGCTAGGTAACTAATTTAAACCCATGCATGCAGAAATAGCCGCCAAACTTCCTCAACTTCCCCATGAAGAGACCAGGTGGATTTAGACTCCATTGGAACTAACAGCACATTTGGATGGTTACGGCTCAATCAAGGACAGTCAGCTACCCATGTGAGGTTATATACAATCAAGGAGAATGGAGAGAGGAGTGATGTGCAGTTTTCCAATCCCACTGCCGAGCTGGATAAGCAGAAAGCTTTGGAACGTTAGCCAAGGTTGGAGTGGAAAAGTGGGAGCTACACGAGGCCTCTTTCTTCGTGTGGACCACTCCCCAACACTTGGATCCAACAACCTCTCTCCGGTGGGTCCTGCTGACACCCCGGAGCAGAGACAACTCTACTTCAAGGTCTACATGCAGCTGACTGTGTTGCTTCTCCAATGGGCTCCAAAAGGAGCATTTAGTCCATGGTCTCACAAACTTCTGTGTGATCTGCCAGATACATGAATATACAACTCAACTTGTACCAAAGCCCTCATTCATGCCTTTCGCTGGATAGATGCCCCTTTGGGGGAAAGGGCAACACCAGAGATTGCAAGCACAAGAAGTTCATGTATATATTTAAAAAAGAAAAAGCTGTATTCCATCATAAGTAAGACAAATTAGCTCCATTGATTGCCAATGTTGCACCCCAACCCAAGTCATGGATGCAAAACGGAGCGCCTCATCATGGTCATGAACTGCAACGGCTTTCAAACTTTTGAACTAGTTAAACAAGGCAATCGTGGTACACTCAGTCAGCCAATCGTCGAAGATTTCGCACGCATCATATTTTCCAGTCGGGTGTCACCGGGATTTCGGAGAGGGGCAGGTAGGCCTGTCCTCCTTCTGGTCTTTTCAGGATAACTCACAGCTAGTAGCCCCAGAACATCCCATTCCTTTAGTGTTGTTCTTCACAGGGTGTTAGTCCAAACATGCTTGTAATTTCTGGATTATTTACGCTACAGGCATGTTTACCCCTTATACACCAAGCACTGCTCGAGTGACGGGGAAGCCAAATACAGTGTTTGTACACTGAAGTCATTGGTCTGTATTTTGACAGGATCTGGGCAACAGGAGATCAGCTCTGGTAATCCATCAGTCTCTGACATGATCTAAAATAACAATAAATTCTGTTCAACGCCTGGGAGACTGACGTCTCCCATCTATCTTCTACCCCTTCATCAGTCATTGCTCAAGATTGGGTCTGGCCATTGAGGTCATCATACCTTAACTGCTGTTAAGAGAAAAAGAGGATACTAACAGAGGCACAGAGCAATACAGGAGATTTTCAGTGGAAATCGAAATGCAAAGACTGCAAATGCAGCAGTGGTGACAGTATACATGAAGAGACATATCAGTTGGTATAAAATGCATTAACGTCAGGTTTATAGGCTTCAAAATGATTAGGAAAAGAGCTCACAGCTAGCATGGTGCTCGCCAACACACAGAGGGAAAGCTACGAGGCATTCGTCTACGCAAACCTCGCTCGAAGCTCCGTTAGGACAATATGTACAGCTGCCTTTTGGGAAGCCCGTGTCCAAACCAAATGAAAACTCTGACCCGGCTCAGCAGTCACGCATTACAGCATCTTGTCCCCCACAGGCAGTCTCAAACTTTGTTTTCTTTGACAGATATTTAGTGTACGCTCCCAAGGATTGCATTCGCAGACACATGCAGCTGATCTACAAGTGTCCTCTCATGGCACATGTAATGCGAGTTTCCATAGCGTAAAAAGAAAACTGCAACGTTGTATCTTTCACAATTTTCTTAAACAAAAATTTAAAAAGTACCGCTAAACTTTTGTGATGTTTGGTAAACGAAAAGTTTATGGTGGACAAAATTTCAATTTGAGATGTGATAGACTGGTATTGTACCATTACATAAAAGATGGGGGGGGGGTGATTTTGCTCCAATCAGAGAAATAAAAAATAGCAAATGCTGGAGATGAGATTGATATCATCTGTACTATTATGAGATTGCTTGCCAGTGATTTCATAAATGATAGCAATAAAAAAATCTTGATAAGAATTGGTCTGCTTTTCGTTATGTTTCTGGAGCTGTTATAGACCTAGACTGCTGCTCTTGACCTGAACTGCTCTCAGGCAATACTAGTGAACGGTAAGAGAGGGCTTACAATAGCATCTGTGCCAAGTCTGCATGGTGATGCTGGATTTCACATTACAGGACTAGGGTTCTGCTATTGTGTGCAGGTCATTGTAGTTTTTCAGGGGTTTGTTACAACATAACCTGTTTTCCTCACTGTCAATGAAGTCGTGACCCCTTTGCTTAATGTGTTATTGTCAGATGAGAAGGGGAAATAAATCGCAAACCGTGAACGAGGCAGGCTAGCGAGCGACGACAGCATTGACAAATGACCGCTCAATTCCCACTGCTTGTAGATCAGTGCACCCCTTCAAAAAGTGCTCTTCGGTGAAATTTCAGACGAGCAGCCTGGGAAACCACAATTTACACACCTTATATGTGACATCATGTTGTGTGTGAGGGACCGCAAATGACTGTGGGTCACACATGGTCCTCTCAGGAACCTTTAAAACCTTAAAACATCGATTTAGTGACACAGTATATGATACTTTGATTCAACAGGAATTAAAGCATTACCAAAGAAGCATGTCAGTCAAGACCCACGAAAGCAACATTTTGAGGTCTTCTTCCTAACTTTCATTTGCACCTTCTCTCCCCCTCAAAACAAGCATCGTAACTGCCTTCTCTCTCAGACAGCTGTTCACGGTCTTTGATGTGATCACTGTCGGTAGCAGACTATGGTCTGCCAGGTGTCATTTCTCGAAATAAACACTTGCAGGCCTCAGAAAAACACCTGGAATGGCCATAACCATCACCAAAAAAGGAACAAGGGATCCCAATTAAGCTTTGAAGAAGTTACTGCCAAACATATTATTTTGGCAACAACAAAGACAATTTAGTGGTTTCACTATCCATAACACACACATTCAAATTACAAATATCGCTCGGGCAACACAGGAGTCAAACATATTGACAAAATGTTAATCGACATGCGACTCACCTTTTCCAGACAACTAAGACTTGTGCTAATTTTTAGATTTTGTTTAGATGCAGATATTCGCATTGCTACAGACACTACACTGTATATATTACCTTAAAACACACAGTATATGAATCCTTATAGTAGTGACTATTTTCTATATCTGTGCATCATATTTCTCGCTTGTCCCCTTCTTTTTTCCATGTGTAGCATGTATGGACTGGTGAAATGATACTTGAATACCACGACCCTGGTAAATAAGTGTGTTATAACCACACCATGTTATAATACAATACACGACAATGAATCACGTCTATGACATGACTTCAGCTGAAAAACAATGACAATTACCCAACTTAAAGAATTCTTTAGTCAACCCTAAGCACCTTCACTGCTTCATAATAAGTGAACAAATGAGAACCAGTGAGAAATTATTTTTTGGAACCGTTTTCCCAAGTGAGACTACAAGACAAATGTTTAACGTTATGGAGTTTAACCCTTCAGGTAGAATAAACAGCATGTTGTATTTCGACAGAAAAAGAGATGAAAAATTGTTAGTTTTTCCTTGCTGAGAAATTATTAAAGTTTAATGACTCATACGCATACATGTTTTCAAAATGGTGTTTTAATCAAAGAGTCAAATGTGCTTTTTTTGCTTTTCAAAATACGTCACGTCAAGCCTCAATTCCAACATGAAGCTCACAATTTTAGATCTTCTGGTTGATGTACCACAGGTGATCATTTGTCCACCAGGCAATCATGAGCACTCATCTGTGTGACCCATATTACCAAGGGGTATGGGGTGTAAACACCAACTCCCTCCCACTTTTCGGTCAAAATCAGGGTCTTTTTCCCCCTCAAACATCACCTCAGCTTTGTGGGAACACAGAGAGACACATCACGCGTTTTTTGGCCAACGCCAAAAAAACAAACATTTTGCACATAAATGTGACGATTTCAAGCCAAAGTCAGCAGTCAGCTGTAGAGTGCTTACAGTCGTCGTTAGAGCAGTGCGGATGCTGGGGCGCTGAGAAACCACAGCGTGCCCTGCAAATCCAGAAGTGGCTGCACGGAACGTTCCGCTGCACGGTGCTACTTCTTGCGCCTCTGCTTGATAAGGAAGAGGTTCTCGTCAGTTGGGTACAGGTTTTCCGGCTTCCTGTCCCTCCCCCTTGGCCTTCGCCGTTTGCCCTTCAGCCCTCTGTCGGCATGGTTAAATAAACCCGGGGTGCCTTTGCCCTTGTGAGCTGACACGGGGGTCCCTGTCCTCTTCTTGGGGCCCCGCGGGAAGTCCTCAGGGTCACGCGGTGCAGCCGGCTGCTGGGCCGCCCTCTCTCTCCGCTGCTTCTTCTGCTGCCGGCGCTCCTTGCGCTTCTGCCGCCACGGCTTGGACAGCAGGTGGTGCCGCTTCCCTGTCTTCTCCTGACCCGCCTCCTTCTGCTCACTCTTACCCTGGGGAGATGCCTTCTTGTCCTTATGTTGCTTCCTCGCACATCCTTTGGTGAGTTTCCTCTTCTTCCTCGGCTGGTTCTCTTCTTCCCCGCCCACAGTCAAAGTCTGGTCGGGTTGGGTTTGTACCAATAATCCAGCTTCCTGTAAATCTGGAAACACACCAACGGTAAATGACCATACAGAGGCTTAGAGGAAGACCTCTAGATTTGTCCTGTGCCAAATATTGAATAAAAATAATTTTTATATTTGCGAACACTTCAATTTTCCAGACTTGCTCCTGGATCCCAGGGAGTGACTTGGTCTTTGTAACATTATGATCTTCAAATTTTTGAAGAACACCACAATCTTTGAAAGAATGTTAGGTATCCATGAAATACCTTATCAATGTTACATATAAAGCATATTATTTTGGTGATACTGAGGTTGTGTGCTGTTCTCATTTTCAGTTTGTTAAGCACAATTAAATGAATGACTACATTTCTCAATACAGGTGGAACATAAATTCACAAGTAGAGGTTCAACCTGGAAAACATTACGCTAATTGTGACTGTGAGTTGGTCATGGTTAATGCTGGTTACAGTCAATCATAATAAGCACTTTGGGAACATTCTGGTTTCCCAAAAAGTTACATCAACACTGAGAGAAAGGAGTTGATAAGGCCAAGACTGTTGACTCTGTTATACTGAACTCAGATATGTTGCTGGAAACACATCCAACATGCTAACTCGATTGAGTGTTTACCGCTACAGATATGTAACCATATTCAGCAGAAGAGAACACAGGATTTAATTCATCATGACTTATGATGTGGCCTTATTTTTGAATTTTTAACTTTATAATGTGCAAATAAGCATCTCATGCTCTGTTATTCAGACACTTCGACAGACTGATTGCCTTTGGTTTACAACTGTTTGTAATTGTGTTTGTGGTATCAAAAACAAATTCTGTTTTCCCTGTAGTACCGAAACTGCACAGAACCATGAACCCAAAATCGAGGTTGGTACCGAACCGTGAATTTTGTGTTCCGTTAGACCCGTAATAAATATGTATGAGATCATTATTTCAGGGAATGATGGTTTGTCGATGACAGTCTGTCAACATACTACAAATCATACTTCATCCCTGGCTTGGGACCGTTAGCACGTTCGAGGCGGTTACCATGACGCACCTTGCACCTTCTTTGCCATTCGCTTGTCACGCTTGCTGATATCCTTCTCCTTGTCGTAGTAGTAGATGTAGGGGGCCGTGGGGTAGGTTCCATTAAACATTCTCCTCTCCTTGCATTCCTGCCAGAGACACAGTGTTAAGATACAGCCAAGAAGAGACGTGTGGAAAAACGATGTCATGTGGAAGAGCTGCACAGGAAGCCCACAGGTAGGCCTGAGGGGGCTTGGTGCTGAAGCGACACTCACGAAGCCAAAATGGCCTTTGCGGGAGCAGTTGTAGCAGTATGCTGGGCTCCGGGGGGGGGCTTCTCTGTCTGGCTTTACTGGAGGGCCTGTCTTCGTCTGGAGAAGGAAGCGGGTGGTCAATGTCAGTATACGGGGGCCCAACCAATCTGACTGAGGTCATGTGGTGTCTGACACAATAATCATTGTTGCTCTGATTGGTCATATAAAGGAAATGTTTTGAGCATCTTAAAATGCTCTTCCTATCCACCGGAAATTGTAAGAACTTACGTGATTTCCCTCTCATTTGAGAGCAACTACCTATTCCTAAATGCATAGCCCCTAAATCCAACAGAAGAAACCCATGTTTGATAACCAAACAAAAAAAAAAAAAAAAAAGAATTCCTCAAAATCTGTCCCCACAGTGAGGGCAGAACGCCACAGATCCATAAAGACACGGAGCGCGAGGAAGCCCTGAGGCATCATCTTTAAATCCACTTCAGTTCACAGTGATGGACTGCAGCCAGGGTGTGCAAACAGTCTTTGTGTACAAGGGGATTTGAGGGCTGGTTTGCACGTGTTACTGGGGCCCTGGAGAAACCCCTCCCAATCACACCGCTTAGACAAATTCCCAAAAATGATGTATGACAAAACATAGTGGAAGGCTCATAAATCAGGCTCTGACCTCAGGAGTCTAGAGAGAATGGGAATGAGCTGTAAACAAACACGTTCCAAAACTTAGAATTTTATACAAACATGTCAGCCTTCTAATATATATAATCAACGACAACCGAAACTGATGTGCATATACCCAGATTGGTGCTAACAGGACTTGGGAGACACTGACCTCACAGGTGTCAAACCTCATTGTCGCAGACACAATCTGACAAGCAGAGCTGCATTGTGCCTCATTGTTATATCTATCCCTTCTAGCCCCGACTCTTTTGCACAGTGAAAAAATGAGGGATTACACTGCAGGTCACAAGCATCTTAAAGAGGGACTCCGCCACACGTCCACAGGTCAGGCTAGTCCCCTGAAACCCGCTGAATGCCGCCGTGCGGCGTGACAGGTGGAAACCACTTGTCTGGGATGCTGCACGTTCAGGGAGGAGAGACACTGGTGCTGTTGCCACGGAGATGGAACACAGTCAGGTACCACACACAGACACACTGAACACCCCAAAACTCAGATCCCCACTCATACACACACGAACGCCCCCCTCCCCCGACCACCAGCGGAGCCCACAATCCCCAGCTGGCTGATTCCCCCCGAAAGAGGTCTGAGATTTCCGAAGAACTTCAATTAAAAGCACAAATGGAACCAAATGAAGGTATTATAACGGATACACACAGACACAAAAAAATCTCCAATCTTCCAACCACCTTGTTCTATTTTTGGGGTCCATCTTTTTTTAATCTTGATGTATTTGTAGGATGGCAGACGGGAAGGGGGGGGGGGGGCTGCCTAAATAGGCCAAGAGGCTTGGGAGGGGGCTCTGACAAGCTGATAAAACCTTTCAGATTTCATGACCGTTTCCTCGTCTTTTGTCATTCAAATTCGGATGGAAAACCGTCGGCTCAGAGGAGTGAAAGCAGCGCGGCCACAAATACCTTGTAATGCGACCTCATCCGGCCGAGGGGGCCAGGAGAGCCTGCTCCCGCACTGATAACACCATGCGGAGCGTGCAGGGGGGGGGCTGTGTCTGTGTGAGCATGTATAGGATCCCTGTCTCTCTCTCGGTCTCTCACTCACACACACACACACACACACACACACACGGCCCTTCCGGACGAGCGAATCATCACCACAGGCAAACGAGGCAGAGGTGAAGGGAAAAAAAAAGCTGAATTTCGGATTTTACGCATTTGTCCGACAACCGCAGAGAAACTGTGAAACACTGCAGTTTGCCGTCAAAGGACAGATTTAAATACTGCTGAACGGACATAAGTCAACGGTGCTCCCGTTAAACGCCGGCGAACAGGACTGCGTCTGTCCAGATCCTGCGTGGTGTGCTGGAGCCATCTGGTCATGCTTTGTGACACAGGTGACCCCATATCTGCCCCACAGCACCCCCTACCCACCCTACGCCCTCCCTCCCCATACCACACAATCCCTTAAAAATGGCTTCAAAGTCAATGCTGTGCAAAGAAAAAGACCATCACTAACCTACTTAATGGCTGACATTACTTACAATGTCATTTTCTTTGCAAAGGTCTGGAATGGTCTATTGACACAGTCTTGTAGCAGCACGCATACAGATCGGGGAAGATGGAAAGGCAACGCGATTAATGCAGGATTAAAGTGGGAAACAAATCTAGGAAACGTCGTCGCAATGGGAATGTTTTTTCTCAGCACCAAGCATAATCCAAGATAAACTAAATGCACTTCACATTAAAACGGCAATTTACATTTTGTCAGACTCCTAGTCTATAATAGATTTATAACATAGTGATTTGACTGGATTAAAAAAAAAATCAATTCAGTGGCACTGCATGTTTTCTTGCCAAAGTAGAGATACAGTAAACACTTCATTTTTTCTTTTATCATAATGGCAAAAAAAGCTTGATACATGCATTTGCTACATTTTTACGAGACACATAGAAAATGCATTAGTGAGGCAACAGAAAGTGCATTTAAACCGAATGCGGCCACTCTTTTCTAGAAACAAAAGAGTAAATATTAAGCTTGTAGGTACCAGTTACAGGAAGCATACTTGTACCTCCCCAAGCCCAGCAGCCCACAAGAGATGAAAAGCAAAGCTGAGTGTAAGCAGGCAGGACGACTCATCGGAGTAAGAGGCTGAGGCTGAGGCGAGGCGAGGCTGGGCCGTCAGCTAAACGCACTCCTCCAAAATGGAAATGCATTAAGATGCGAGGTGAGGAGAAGGGCAGCGGGTGCTGCGTGGCCATGTTTACAAGCACGCAATCTGAGGACACGTTAGTGCGAAGAGCCTTGAGTCAACGTATATATGAAGAGTCCAAATAAAGTCCAGTTCTCCAAAATCTACTGCAAAAGTACACTCAAGGCTGCGGAGTTCTGTAACCTCTGAGCTCGAGCTTAAAAAAATCTCACCCATCAAGCACAATGGGAAATTAATTTTTATAGTAATTCAGGGTTTGTCGAATACGCAGCAGCTAAAATGAATTAACTGTACGTCAATGTATTTATAATGCAGGTTTGTATACCATGGCTGTCTTGCTATGAAATCATTAAAGCTGTCAGTTTGCTAGCTACACAAATAGCAATACGGGTATATCAGTGTCTCAGCTGCAGGTTACAGCAAACAATAAAAGGACAAAGGAGAACCGGCTCTGCGCTGGAGGTGGGCATCTGCGGTGTGGAACGTCCGCCACAAGGGGGAGCGCTAGCCCAAGCCAGCGGGTTAGAGAATGTGACGGCTGAGAGCCTGCTGGAGAGCAGAGCGGGCCCACACACAGGCAGAGGGCCGTGCGACAGACACGCATTGTTCAGTTTTAACGCAACACACACTCGGGGGGGGGGGGGGGGGGGCGGGTGTATTCAGCCCTGCTCTGCTCAGAGATCAGCAGAGCGAGAGAGAGAGAGCGAAGAGGTCAGCAGAGACCCCTCTCTGGAAGCAATGTCTGCTCTTAGTGGAGTGTTGCTCTCCAGTCAGTGTCCATTGGGGGAGAGGTCTTACGGTCTTACCCAGCTTGGAGGCCTCCGCAGGCCCGGGATTTAGGGGTGCGTATAATAATCTCCTGTATAATAATAATCAAAAAATATTTTTTATTTGTGAATTGTATTTGTTGCCTTTTGAGTTTGGGTGACTTTTCCCCAAGAGTATTCCAGATTTACACCGCCAAGATCTGCCGGAGGAATTTGCACCTACTGCAGTGTTACTGAACACCACTGCACACTGAATATGACAGGTAAAGAATAAAAAAAAAAACCACAAAAACTAATTAAATAAAATTAAACACAACAATGCCAATGACAATGGTGATCATCCTCTTTGGGCAGGAACTTGACCAACAATCCTACACTGAGAAAAAAAAAATCACAAACTAATGAAAGCTTCAAGCACAGCAGTCATGCAAATATTTTCCCCTACATACAATAATGTAAATATAATCATTTAAATAATGGAAATGTGAAGAGGGTCTACTTCTGTTTTCGGAAATAATTACATTTTGTTATAGAATATTTTTAGAAATATTTAATTCAGTTTTTTCATAGGATTAAATTTTACTTTATATGAATTTAAGGTCTAATTTGATTTAAAAATAAAATGACATACATAGTCGAATTTTATCTAAAGTTAACTTCAAAATCAAAATTTAAATACTCAACAAAATAAGAGTGCTTGTGAAGGGCTGTTTTATAGCCAATGCTGGCATCTTGTATTTCAATGTTTTATTTTAATTCGGTTTAGGTGCATTTTATTTCTAACTTAGTTCTGGTCTATTATTAACTGTGTTTGTTACCACTAAACACTGAAATAGTAAGCAATGGGTTTATGGAGTTTTTGTTTCTTTTAATTTTGAGAGTTTCAGTTTTTGTTATAGTATTTTTTTTAATATAAAACTATGTATAAACATTTTTTTCATTGAAAACCTTGGATATTTCTCATATTTTGATTGAATCATTTAATCAAAATACCACACAAATATCAATCATGATGAAACTAAGTATAAACAGATCCATTTTAAATGTACATTTACAAAACTTAATTCACACAACTGTAATTAATATAAATCGTCTGACATTATATTGCACCAGTCAGAGATTCAGTGACAATGCCCAGGTACTGATGTTAAAATGAACGTTTCAATAACGTCGAGGAGGTTTCCTGATCCCGCAAAAGGATTAGGAAGGTGGCTGTACCTCATGGAAGGGGTACGAGACGACAGGGCGGTACGCTGCTACCCATCAGTACAAACCCAAATTCAGCAAAACACACAAGCTGATCAAAACCTGGTGGAACAGCACCAAAAAGAAGGGGAATGGCCGGGGATGATCAAAGCACACAGTCAAACCACCAAAAATCAACCCAGGCCCCTTCAAATGAACTGCTTACAACTGAGACAGGTCTATCCACACCAAGCTTATGCTCAGAGAAGCCTGCATACCACTAGGTGGTACTGTGACTCTTAAGCGGTCAAAATTAGGCAGGTAGCAGTGCTGCATTCAGATGAAATCTTTAACCAAATTTAGTGTGGCCTATTTCCAAAACTCTGAAAGTCAGGCCTACTGTCTTTTACCAAGATACAACAAAAGAGCAAACACACCACGATCTTTTGCAGCATAGTCTGGGTCATCACTGTGTGGTGACAAGAAAACTGCAAGTCTTCAGTGACTACACAAAACCTACTTTTACTGTAAAAAATCTGGTAAGAAAAATGCTGACAGATATTGGATTGTCTGGGTTTTGTGTAGCTAGAAAGTTTAAATATAGAAATATGACCATCCTGTCTGAGAATCCTACATCAGATTAACCAGGGCTTACTGGTAAACAAAAGTGATACTGACACTTTGCAATTAATTATTGCCTGTTATAGGGTCTGGTTGTGTTTGAAATAAAGAGTCAGACTTCAGCGTATATGTCAGGGTTCTTCAACTCTGGACCTCGATTCCAAATCCAGGCCTTGTTTTCAGTTCCCCCAGGTAGTTGTTTAATAATTACTGATTCTGATTGGTCAGAGGCTTCACACCTGACTGACAGGTAAAGGAAGGCTGGAAAACCAGCAGTGCTCGGACCTCGAGGACCGTGAGTTGAATAACCCTGGTATATGTTATGAGAGAGAGAGAGAGAAGACAAGGCCTTCTAGAGGCCTGGATTCCTGAACAGGGCCCTGAACTTCAAGGCTTCAGTAAAATGACTACCTTGACATAAATAAGCCAAAGGGAAAACCAGACGAAATAAAAGTCACTGCAAACGAAAGTGTTAAACAGAACTGAACGAAAGCATGGTAACTAGCGCAGACAGACCGGGAGTGTCACTAATACACAGGCAGACTATTTGAATTAAATACCGTTTGCGTAAGAAGGACGTGTGTAATAAGGGTTTTCACTGAACTGAAACACCTTCTGCTCACAATTACGGTGTCTGACTGCCAAAAATGAACCGGAATCAGCTTCCAGAGCAACCCCACACCTGGGGGGGACCCGGTTAATGGGGACGCGTGACACTCGAGACAGATGTTTCAGGCAGGTCTGTATAATCAATGCTGGCAAAAAGTGAAACACACCAACACCAGAGTGAAACGCAGAGACTGCAATCCACATCCCTGGGGCATTGCTCAAACAAACGTGCAGACTCACATAAACGCACCCATGTCGGGAAAAAAGGCCACAGCAAGTTGAACCTTCTCTGAGACCTGACTGCCAACCAGCACTCACGTCTTAGTGCCCATAAAGAGCAGTACGCCTAAAGGGCACTGAAAGGCTGATGTTCACCGCTGTTGCTGGGAGACAGAGAGGTTGGGTGGTGACATCTACCAATGGACAGGCAGAATAAGGAGCCTCTGAAGACCCAAACCTGACCCAATTTAAACAGATCTCTTACATGTCCTGCACAACTAGGTGGTCCAAGTGACCATGCACTGTCCATACGAGGGAGGGGGGGGGGAATGTTGGTGCAACCACAGCTTGAACAAAATCTTGAGAGTGACTAATGAGATTGGTCTCACTGAAGAAAAGGTGGAAAGGCAGACAGGACTCAGGACTAGATGTTACACCTGAATAGCCTACTGAGCGGAAGAGAGGTCCGTTCGGAGGCCCATAAAGACCCCATGTCAGTCCAGAAGAAGAGCCCTCTGCACCCAGTGAGGTCACCAGCGCCCCCTACGCATGGTGAGGACCCAGCCCTCTCTTCTGACGGGCTCGCTAATTAAACTGCAAACGGCGAAGCGTCGCGCCGACGCCTCCGGCTCCGATCCGTTTCGTGCTCTATCACCTCTGTTAATTGACAAACAGCCTGCTGCTCCCCTCTTAGGCCATAGGAAGGGGGGGGAGAATATGCCAGTTAGTCCTGCAGATGTTAACCCCCCACCCCTCACAGGAGCTTCCCCACGTAACCGTCACAGGCTGCCACGCCTCCATTCCGGCGGGCCACCCCCGCGGGACGTAAACCGTTAGCTGCTGTTGATAATTACCCACAATGCAAACTTTGGGGCGCTAACGGCTCCTTGCGTGTTCTGAAGGACTCGGGGGGGGGGGGGTTGTATAGAGAGGAAGTAGCAACACACCAGCCCAGGACCCTCAAACAATGAACAGCTAGCGACAAACCCTGCCTTACTGTCACATCGGAAACGTCAACGGTCATTGGAACTAATTTCTGTGCCACTGCATGCGACCCACCACGTCTCCCAAACGAGGAATCTTCCCACTTACCGTGAGGTGGTACTGTCTCCAGATCTCTGGGCACTCCTAAGGAAGGTTGAAAAAGAGAAAAGAAACCAAAATCAACAATACTGTCCAAGGTGATGGAAGGTTCAACGATTACAGTTTTGAGCCTCTGTGATTAGGACTGGCTCTCTATTGACGGGCCGGTCCAGCAGACAGGCAGACAAGTGTGTGTCAATACAGGGCAAGCCAAAATGAATGATCGCAATAAAGAAAAGCAAAGGTGAATGTGATGGAGTAAAGCCAACAAAGAAAGAGGAGGAGAACATAAAGGTCCTTGTCGGAACCCACCGGTCCTGCTTTAACGAGAACTAAAGCACGAGAGAGTGAATCCAAATCTGAGCCTTAGCCAACACATCAGATGTACTTAAAGTGGGTCCTGCCCAGTACTAGCTAGGTATGTCCTACCTGGTATGAGTTTGGTGTACCTACCAAATTGGGTCCTACCCAGTACTACCTAGAAGGGGTTGCAATGGTATACAAAAAAAAATATATATATATCACGGTTCGGTACATACCTTGAAGTCATGATTCGGTACATTTTCGTTACAGTGGAAGTAAAAAATAAATAGCTTCTTTTTTACTTTGTTAAACAATCGTTTACTGAACATTCTTAAAAAGTCTGTCAATACTGCTACAACCTACTTGAGGTAAAATTATCTGTACCTGAACTATTCTGTATTCACATTTGAAGTTTTCAGCTTCATATTAGAACTAAGCAGCACAAATATTGCCTCAAAAAAAAACAAAGCATAACAAAATAAATATCCATTACGATGCAGAATTTAAACAAATCAGTGCTGTACTTGTGTTCGCACTAACAGCTTCCAGCTTCCAGCTTCACATTAGGACGTACGCACGCATGCGGAGCGGCGCCGCTTCATCTGCCCTTTGTTGATTTTGGTTTCTTTTCTATTTTTCCGGGAAACACAAACACAGAAAGGTTCTGCATTTGCTGCATTCGTTCGGTACATACGCATCCCGTACCGAAAGACTGATACCGAAAATTTTCAGTACAAATACGTGTACCGTTACACTCCTACTAGCTAGGTGTACCTAACAAAGCGAGTCCTAGCTAGGCATACCCAATAACACGGTTACTGGGTGTATTATCAGGGAGGGGTTTTTACCATCTGCAGACAGACACTGCTGCAATAAACATTCATGTGCAGAGGTATTAAAACTGCAAGGTGCACCCCAGAATTAAAGGTGGGGGGGTATGGAAGCACAGGTGAGGGAGAAAAAGAAAAGAACTATGTTGGGGGTTTAAGGTGGGGGTTAACCAACTGCAACTTTTCAAAATATTAAGAATGTGAATATACTATATGCCTGTACACATTATATGAAACAAATTAGACTAGTTAAAATAATTCAATTGCGAGGTCAGTTTTTCTGCTTGGGGATTAGCACAAATATCAGCTCGTGGGTGGGGGGGGGCTGTCAAAAGATTTGAATACCACTGATCTATATCATCACCATTCTATCTAATCAAAACAAAGGCCACTTTTAAATAAAGCATAAAGTAAAGCAATCCCAATAAACAGCAGCAATGTCACTGCAGCCTTTTCTCTCCCCCATAATTAGCCCTCCTAATAAAGGTAGAGTGATAATGTCAAGCAGACATTTGCTCCGAAATCTGCCCCCGTAGGTTATAAATCTACACGGTCAGGCCTTTGTGAAGTTTGCCGTTTTGGCAGAATTCATGCAAATTCAGATACAACTGAAAAACCGATCTCACTGACTTGGTCCATGACAGTTTTGCATGTGGCAAAAAAGGAAGAAAAAAAACTAAAACTAAATAATCGATGCAGAAAATAATGCACAGTCAACACATGAAACAAAAACAAAACTTGTAAGAAGTGTATGTGTGGGAAAAGATTTTGTTTTAAAAGCTTACAAATATGCTCCATATTTCACAGATAATATTTGCATGCAATGGGAGCAATTGAATATTGATGCTCGTTTTAATTTCAATAGCACAGGTCTCGTGGTCGTTTTAAGCGCCCCTTAACTAATCCCCTGCATTTTTTGTTTAACCGTGTGCATAACTTCACCGTTATTTAAATTTTCATTTTATGTTATTGCTAAGGCCAAGATTAATATAGTAAAATGAATCTACCGCTGCACGGCTGCAAATGCCACAAAAACTTATTTTCTTAAAACATCTTCCCAGTTTTGATTAAATATATAAAGCGTTTATCTGTATTTCAGCTTTATAACTTTTTTGAGCTTTTATAAAAACATAAAATTCTCGCAAAGAAAAATAATAAACCTGAAATAAACCTGATTTGTTTGTTTACGGCCATAAACATGAGCAGTAATGCACATTTAGTTAGCCATCGTTAGCCATTCTGCTAGCCAAAAAGAGGCAGCGGAGAGGCAGCGGAGCCTCTTCCACAGCAAGGCAGTGTCAGGGCTAAACACACTCTTGGTCTGCGGCTGCCGGGAGTACAATGCAGCTGCTGGATTAAGCAGGCTAATTCTGCAGAGGGAGGGGGAGGGCTGGGAAGAGGAAAGATTCAGCTGTGGAGGAGGGAAGGGGGCTGAGGCAGGCTGATGGGACGCGCACAAAACGCAGGGTGAGAGAGGACAAAAAGACAAAGGGGCAGGACCGCACCGGCACCGAAATCTGCCCGATGTCAAAGACGGAACATTTGGAAAGTGGCCCATGGTGGAATGCGGCTTCAATCGGCTCACGCCCCACCCCCAACACACCGACACCCATGGCATGGAGAGGGACGGAAGACAGTCAGAGATGCAGAGAGCACATCGCACACAGAGCTGGAGAAAATGAGAGAGGAGATAGCTGCAGAAAAGCCTCATGCGGGACGGAGACTGTACATGACTACATACGAGTGTGGAGAGAGAAAGAGAGACTGCACGCATGTACATACAAGTGAGGAGAGAGAGGGGGAGAGACTGTACACATGTACATACATGTGAGGAGAGAGAGGGGGAGAGACTGTACACATGTACATACATGTGAGGAGAGAGAGAGACTGCCGCATGTACATACATGTGAGGAGAGAGAGGGGGAGAGACTGTACACATGTACATACATGTGAGGAGAGAGAGGGGGAGAGACTGTACACATGTACACACATGTGAGGAGAGAGAGGGGGAGAGACTGTACACATGTACACACATGTGAGGAGAGAGAGGGGGGGAGACTGTACACATGTACACACATGTGAGGAGAGAGAGGGGGGGAGAGAGCAGCACGAATCTTGATATTTGTGGCAGACACACAGTTGCCCGTGTACTGAGCTAGTTTTCACACAGGCCTTACAAGAGGCTAGTTAGCGAGAGTTGGATTCTCAGCTTGAATAATAATTATGCACAAAGCCATTATAGTGACATTATCAGAGAGTGAGGCAAAAGCCAAACAAGCCCTATAATTGTCATTGACGGTCATTAAAAGCACCCTCTGGCGAATCATGCACTCATTTGTTTGGAAAATCTCAGGTGTAGCAGGGACATAACTAGGCAGTAATCGATCTTTTAGATCAATTATGCTTTACAGTATTGTAAATTGACAGGTGGGCCGCCGCAGCCAATCAGAAGCTGAGGGTACTCACGTCGTGGAAATGCCCGGGCATCGTGCAGCGGTAGCACTGCTTGGTCCAGGAGGCGCGCTCCACGCAGTCTTCATAGCCGTGACCAGGCCGGCCGCAGTTGGCACAGTGTCGGTGCGGACAGTTATGCTGGATGTGGCCCTGATTGCCACACAGCAAGCAGGATGGGAGCTGTAACAGAGGAGAAAGGGGTGCTGGCTCAGGAATGGCTAACCGCCCACCCTACCGCCCGCCCACCCGCCTACCCGCCCGCCCGCCTGCCCCGAGCCCCGTCACCCTTTCCTCACCTCCCGGCTGGTCTCACCTTGGGCTCTGGACAGTTTTTTGACAGGTGTCCCAACTTGTTGCAGCTGCGGCAGGTAACAGTTTTGTCTGTATAATAGCGGTTGGTCGAGTATCGTGTCCCTGACCTCCGGTTACTGATCTGAGCCTTGATGATGGGGGATGGAGGACAGGAAGTGACCTCAGCACAGAGATACACAGAGTTCAAGGAGCTTTTCAACCCTTTTATACGTAGGATTACAGTAACAAATACAGACCCTTTACAAGTAAATATTACCATCATGTCTCTCTTTGAAATGGTCCAGATCTGGTTGGTATCATCACCATCCTCTGTAAAGGAAGGAAAAAACACGATGAACGTAGACTGCTTCAGAAGTGTAACAAAATATGCCCAGATATCAGCACTTGTAGACAGCAGTTCACGAGGACCAAGACAACCACCACCACTTTCACCGGAAAAGCAATCATGAAGAGCAAAAATAAAAGAACCACAAAGAAAATCTCATAAAGTCAGTCTGGACGGATGGATGGACTTTAATGATGCCGGGGGGAATTTGTTTGCTTACAGCAGCAAAGGACAAAATTCACAGTTACAAACACAAAAGAAAATGTCAGAAATTTTGTACTTAAATTTCTTTAATCAAAACTCTGAACTGTGTGATTAGGGTGGAATGATATATTAGCTGTCCTTGACCCTGAGAAAAACATTGGGTGATGTGTCCCACAGGAAGACTGAGTCACCGTCGGGGGTTTATGTGAACTCTCCAGAGACCAGCGCACTGCTGGTGAGGAGGACACAGCTGCAGGAACGTAACTGATGACAATGTGGTCACCCGATAGACTGAGACGCGCTCAGCATGACGCTCAGCACCAGCAATGCCCACTACCGCGGCCAGCACAGCCAATGGCAGCCTGTGGAAGAAATAAGCTTTAAGACGAACTCCTCCTCCCCTCAAGCGACACCGTGATTAACCTGAAGGTTAACAGCTCTGTTGACAGTCAAACAGATTAACCCAGGAGCAGTTTAACTTTCAGCGACCTTTGGCGCCTCAGCGTGTCGCTACCAAGGAAGGGGAGGCGACCCAAGCGGGTGCTGATAGACGTGTGTGGCGAGATCACGCAACACGCATTTATACGCTGCTTGAAGCATACCATAAACGCCAGACCGTATCCCAGGCTGCGGGCTGGGGGGAGGCGATGGTGCTCTGGGGATTACAGCGAGATGTGATGGGAGAGCAAAAATCCTCCATCACAAACCCATTACTGACACGGGCCATGGTGGCAGCAGCGAGTAGGGAGGCAGGGCCCTGATTCGGATAGATCGCAGTAGGACCACGTCACAGGAAAGACCCTGGCTTCGCAGGATTAGAGGCCAGACTCAGCCAATGTATGGAGGAGCTGCCCAGGCTGGGTGCATGTTGTGCCCCACAAAGGCCATTCAGGGTCCGCCTCTGTGCACCCAATCCAGAGAGCCTCGCCACAAAGGATAGGAAACTTTCATTTAATCAGCTCTTCCCCACAAAAGAAAGGGGGGAGGAGGGAAGGGGGGAATTGCAAGAGAGGATGGACTCGGTCACGGGCCAGGAGGCAAGAACACGGGAATTCCAGGGCAGAAAGGGGGACAAAATATTACAGCAAGGCACAGATGAGGCCATTTCAAATGAAATAAATAAAAAGCAGTTTTTAGTAAACAACTTGGGATTTTTAAGTGAAAGCTGCCCTTTACGCTCCCTCTCTACCAAATGCCACTTTGCCACCCTGGCTGCAGTCCCCTTTGCTGCAGACAGGAGGCACTGTAGATCCCTGTCCACTAGCCGTTGGCAAGGGCGCAGAATTCTGTGCACCACCTCTTGTCGACGGGCCCAAAAACGCACGACGCCCAATGCGCCTGCTATCCTGGAGCGTGGAGAGCGAGGAAAGCAGAGGGATGGCGACAGATGCTACCTGTCTCCGAGGGACACTAATTAATAGGACGTGAAAAAGAGCAAAACAACGAGTCGCGGTGGAGTGGGGGGGCACCCGGTGGATCCCAGCTGACAGGCAGCAAACGGGGGATGATTTCCGGGAGGCTGCTGCCCCCATCCCGAGTGGGAACAGCCCGGCACTGCACGACTGACTAATTAACCATAAACACCAGCTCTCCTGAGAAAGGCGGCTGGGCGGGAGGAAGAAGACCTCAAATGCAGCCGGAGTGAATCAAAAAGGTGACGACGTTAGAAAAGCATTAGCATCAGTCAGAGGGAAGCAGAGAAGAGGTAGGAAGAGGGAATGTGTCAGAGCACATTGACAGGTTATGTACACTGCTACCATGTCCAGAACATTCTTTGGGCAGCCAACACACACACACACGCACACGCACGCACGCACGCACGAAGAAAAAAATCCACAACACAACACACACAGAAACAGGCGCGCGCACACACACACACACACACACACAACCACACATACACACGCCCACCCAGCTTTCCGGAGCCCCCCCCAGCTGTCTCCCCTAACAACCCCCCTCAAGTGTAACCATGCAGCCACATAATGCCCCAGCCAGATGACTTCACCGGGGTGGGGTAGAGTGGAGGGAGTCTGCATCTGGGCACGAAAATGCTTCAAAGGTCGTCCACCCCCCACCCCCCACGCCCCTCCCCACTGACCCCGATTAAACGGCCACGCTCACTCCCCCTTTGTGCAGCCCTGTTGACTTCTCCCATTATGGCGACGCCCCCCACAAAGAAAGCGGAAGGGGGACCTGGCTGCCCTGAGGAGAGGCCATGTTTGATACAGCGCCGACACGGCGGGATTAGCCGGCCTGCGGATCACAATGGGATCCCGGGAGGTCAGTGCTGAGGGGTGGGGGGTTGGGGGGGGTGCTGTACGCTCGTGTGTGCGTGTGGGGGGGCTTGTCACAATCTGTCAGGATGCCGGAATAGGAAGGGCAGGTAGGGGAATGTTTAAGACTCGTAATCAAAATATCATTGGATCAAATAACGTCCCTTTCAGCGAAGTCCCTTGCCTGGACAGTATCTGAATGTAAGCAGCTTTGGATGAAAGTGTCACATAAGCAACCAAAGAGAGGTACCTATGCCTCACAGGAAATCAGGCAGCTAAAAGTGGCAGAATAAAACACCACCACGAATGTTCGGGTCAGACCATTTCCAATACTGACCGCTCGATTAGGCATTTGCTTTAGAGTACTGCCCCCTACTGGAGAGGGAGCGAGATGTGGAGAACATTGGAAAAAGGTACCTATCACAATCCCAAAATACAAATGGCATAAGAGCTAGTTTGCCTCAAAGAACGGGAGGGTGGCCCTGATAGGGGCCACTAAAAACAGACAGGCAGTGGGGAGGATGGCCCTGATAGGGGCCACTAAAAACAGACAGGCAGTGGGGAGGATGGCCCTGATAGGGGCCACTAAAAACAGACAGGCAGTGGGACAGGGTGGAAAGTGTGCTACAGTGCCTGGACACAGCAGGCTGAGAAGCAGGACTGCAGGCTGCTCCACCGAGAAGATGAGCCCACCTCCCTTCCAGAGGGTTTTCAGCAAAAACCCAAGTCACTAATTCCCCCCCCCCCCCCACACCAACTGCAGCTCAGGATATACACCTCCCTACAGTCTTCAAAAAGGGCCTGAACTTACCACACAGCCTAGAATCGGCAAAGCGGAGCTACGAAGCTTGCTGGAGATGAAACCATCGCATTAAAACAAAGGGCCCCCCCCTCACAATCCCAGTGCACTAGTGCAGTTCTCCGCAGATGTTTTGCATGTAAATGTGGGAGGGAAGGTACTGATTAAACTGCAGATGCGGGTCTGGGCTGGAGCAAGGAGGGGGGCAACATTTGCCGGAGGGTTACAGGGTGCCAAACCGTGTTGCAATATGGTCCAATTATATGCCCTTGGGGGGTGGGGGGTGGGGGGTGGGTGAGACATAAAACCCCATATGAAGGATGGTCTGCATAGTGAAGGAACCCTACGGGGACGGATTGTGGGCATATCCCACTTCCAGTCCTCTTGGCCTGCCCATGAAAGCATGCAGATGCCAGGCAAACTTCTGGATTCTTCCAAATACTATTTATGGGCCATAGAACCTGTATCCTGGCCAATGCTGTCTCCCATCCAGTTTCCAAGGAGGGGTTACAGTGACATCTCTGCTGGGGCAATGTGTTCTCAGCACCCGGCTCCCCCGCCCTTCATGGATGTGGGGCATTAGGCCAAAAATGCCCGTCAAGCCGCAGAGGGCAATTAACACCCAGCGGGACGTGGCACGGTGGCCGCATGGCAACGGCGCACTCCACTCGGCATGCACGTGGCAGACACATGGGGGGGAGGGGGGGATGCCTCTCACAGAACCAATTGGCTCTGCATGGGAATAACACCCTAGTGCTGCCTGTTTAACGGCCCTGGGCCCTCTGAGCTACAGCCTGGTGGTAATGAAGTATCCAGATTCCGCCACACCCCAACCCATCCTCCTGCTGCCACCCTGCTCAGCCAACATGTGGCGCCCCTGGAGCTCGATGTGTGACTGTTCTGCTGAGGCCAGGGCTCAAACTGGAGATGATCTGATTACAGGCGGTGAGTGGCTCACTGGGCTATCACAGGGATAACTGGGCACAAGGCAAGGGCCACCCTGGATGGGGGTGTCCAGTGCAGGATACACACTGTCTTGACCCACAAGAAGATGACTATCCATCCCTCCATCCATCCATTGTCCAACCTCGCTTATCCTACTGGGTCGCGGGGGGTCCGGAGCCTATCCCGGAAGCAACGGGCACGAGGCAGGGAACAACCCTGGATGGGGGTGTCCAATGCAGGATACACAAGAAGATGACTAGTAAATAGTAAATCTATTCAGCAGTCGAGACATTTCGAGGATCTGCTCACGGCACATAAATTCCCTAAGTTATCTGGTATAATCCCTCACCATTTTCACAATGATCTACTCCATATCACACAAATATTTTTTTTAACTGCACACAAATATGCACAAAAGAAAGAAACAGGCAGCAGAACAATCCACCCAAAACCAAACTGCGCGTATGAAATCCTGCCTCACCTCTGGTGTCTCTTACCAATGCTTCTCATTCTGTTTGCCACACAACTCGTGCTCCTCCAGACGACATTTTCAATTTCCAACATTAAATGATTTCCTTTCTCGGGCTACTTCTGTTGTATAGTTTTGGAAGGGGGTGGGGGGGGCCGGGGGCGTCAGCAGCATGTCCGTGTCGATTTCGTGAGCTGTTTGGCTGATTTGCTGGAATATAACAGTTGATTCAAATTCTTGTCAGGACCAGATTGCCCACAGATCCGAGCAGAAAACAATCAGAGCCCCGGAAAC